TTCCGGATCCAAGACGAACATCACCAGCCGCCACTGTGAAGGTGCCATTGACGATGATGTATATGAGGTCAAGTTTTGGCCTGGCCTCAAGGCTCGCCAGCAAGATCGATGTTGACGAATTCGATGAGGCAGCGACTTCTCACAGTGGCGACGCGCCGGAGTGGGGTCTCAACCCAGATCTGGTGATAGATCTTGATTCTCAGGGATTCGATTTTGCGACGAAAGAGAACCGATGTCGGAGGAGGAAGGAGAAAGATCGATTCGCTCCAATTGGAATAAGAAACCCGCCTTCGCCGATAAAGTTTCGCGAGTCTTCTTGGCTGAACGATGCCTTTGCTGAATCTCTAAATCGGGGGAAGGATGGGGATTGGGGAGAGACAGATCTAAGATGGAGACGGATTGGTGGCGGAGGCGAAATAGTGGTGATGGAGAAGGAAAGGGAGGATTGCTCGAAGGAGGTTCTGGGTGGTGGCGGAGCGATGACGAACTGGTGGTGGATGTTAGTGTATCGGACGGGAGGGTTATTCGTGGTGGGGGAGGCGATGGCAAAACTGGTGGCGGCGGATTGGTTCAGGTAAGAGGAAGAGGCGGATTGGGTCAAACCAGTGTATCAGAGGGATGATTGCGGTGGTGGCGGATTGAGTAGGTAAGAGGAAGAGGCGGAGCAAGCTCGGGATTGGGATTGGGAAGATAGATTAGGAATTTTTAATTTTTTGCTTTTTTTAATTGTTATTTAATTATTTAAAAATTCCACGTCAGATGCCACATCAGTGCTGACTAGATTTTCTGTTAAAAACTAACGGTCAACAAAAGTCAACACTAACAGAATCATAGGTCAGGACACAAATGGAATATTGGAAACAATAGGATACAAGTGGCATTTTCGCGATAGTTCGGGTGTTGTAGTGGTATTAGCCCTTCAATATTCAATATTAGGTAAAATCAATTTGTCAATTTAAATCATTTTCAATACCATGAAAATATATGTTGACTATGTAATGAATACACCTATACTCATAGTTGAACTCATATTCAATTCTAGGTGAACACATATTCTTTGTCAAGTTAAATTATATTTATTATTTAATTTTATATAAAGTTAAATTCATTCTAAATGACAGTTGAACTCATATTCGATCAACCTATATTCACTAGGTGACACATATTCTTTCTCAATTCAAAATATCTTTAATACTATATAAACTTAAATTCATTATAAATGACAATTGAACTCATATTCAAACAACTTATTTTCAATACTAGGTAAATACATATTCTTTGTCAATTCAAATTATATTTAATACTACGCAAACTTAAATTCATTCTAAATGACAGTTGAACTCATATTCAATCAACTTATATTCAATACTAGGTGAACACATATTCTTCGTTAATTCAAAATATATTTAATACTATGTAAACTTAAATTCATTCTAAATAACAATTAAACTCATATTCAATATTAAGTGAACTTATGGTCAATGTCATTTCCAGTAAATAAGCAAATGAAAATGCCTTAAATCACATCAAATATACAAGTCGACAGTTTGTATCAAATATCATCTCATAGTCATATATTGGTTCAATTCATACTTAGTGGTTGCTCAAGTCATATTCAACACAAATGACCCATATGAAAATTTATCAAGTCTCGTGAAAGGATTTGTTCCTTTGAGCTCTTACATTAAAATTTAAAACACATAGCCAGAGATTCCATCATCTGCTTCAATTATAGGCCTTGGAATCCAACCAATCCAAAGCATTCCAAAGTTCTTCCTCTTCTTCTTTTGGTGGTGACGAAGGTGGAGCCGAAGTGGAGGTGCAAATGCAAAGCGAAGGTAAAATAGGAAGGCGAAACCCCCAGTTCCTACAGCCCCTTTAGCGATTCACCATGTCAAGAACTTGGAGACCACAAACCCAGAAATCCCATCTCATTCTTTCTCCTACATAAATTCGAAACCAATTCAAACCAAATTTAAGGCCTTTTCAGCTGTCACGACACGGGAACCCTAATTTCTCCATACTTCAAACTAGAAGATCGACCGAAAGATCAAAACCTCTCCCCGCATCAATCCATTACCATCCTCCCCTTTGGCTTGGCTGGCTAGCCGGCTCATGCTTTCATAAGTTTCATTTAAGGGAAAATAGAGTCCTTCCCCAAGCCAACAACTTACAACCATCCATTTTGTTTTTTTGTTGATGTGGCCGAATCCCGGCCTATGAGTATATACTTATGAATTTGGTTGTTAGCACAATAGCCGGATTAAAGATAATCATACTTGCTTAGTAACAAATCGGGTCAAGATCAGATAATTTATTATTAATTAGCGCCTTCTTCTTAATCTCAATCAGCATGTGTATGAAGCATTAGAAAACTCACTATGTAAAATTGGATCCCATAACTTTTTTTTTTCAAATAATATCTAATCATACTATCAGTTTACACATGCACAACCAAACCCACCCTTATGTAATTACCTTGCTCAATTTGGAAATAAATCCTTATTTTCTTTCCTGATTTGTCTCATTCAAATTCAATACTTTCCTCATTGGTCAAAATCTCGTTCCAATCCTAGTTCTAGTTTCATATCAGTTAACATTAAAAGCATGCAATATTTTAACTTTGGGCTAATACCACTGGAAAACCCGAACTATTAAGAATGTGTCATTTGTGTCCTAAAGTATCCAATATGACATTTGTGTCCCAACCTATTATAGTTTTGTGTCATTTATGACCTAACCCAAACTATTAAAAATGCGCCATTTGTTAAATACTAATGGTCAACGTCGGTCAACTCTAACGGAAAAATAGTTTAGGACACAAATATCATATTTGATATTTTAGCACAAAAATGACACATTCTAAATAGTTCGGGTTTTCTAGTGGTATTAGCCCTTTAACTTTTGTATTCTATAATTCACAAATAAGTCAGAGCCGAATTCGTCCACCATACACATATAAAATCAATATCATCATACACAACAACCTCATAACATTATAATTATCGAATTGACGTAACAAATAGGGGTCGTTTGGAGGTTGAGATTTGGAGTGAAGTATTTAGCAAATACATGTACGGGTCGTTTGCTTCATGGATTTGAAAAATGAGGGTTTTGGTAAAACCTGGGTTTTGGAAAACCATGGATATATGATGGATTTGGTGGCATTATGGATTTGAACAAGTCTATTGTTTGCTTGATGGATTTGATTATGGACTTTGTTTGATTAGATTTGTGGATATTAAATACAAATTACCTAGTTACCCTTATTTAATTATATTTCTATATTATAATCCAAATCTTTCATTTAAAACTAATCCAAAACATAGAAAGAAATTTTAAACTCTTTACCACTATGTGGATTAATAATTCAACTACAAATATAGAAATGTATTACAATTTGACACTAATTAACAATTCATCTTGGAACTAATTAAAAATTCATCTAATAATCCTTCATAAAAAAAATAATTCATCTAATCATGTACGCAATATTATGTATCAATTGCAGCCAATTGCTCGCTTTATTGCTACAACTCATCATCTTCTTGCTAACTCACCGATGTGGAATTCGACAATCAATCAAATAATAATGTACAAGATGAGCATAAAGTGTAGGTGAATCTAACAAATCACATATCCATTCATATTTAAATAAAATACTATATTACAAAATGAAATGATAAATTCTCATATTTATAAAATACGAAATTATAAAAGTTTACAGTTGCATGACCATTGAATTAAAGTAGGACAAATTTGTAATTAAAGATATAATTAAGGGTAGAAAGGTAATTTATCATCATGGATTTTAAGCCATCACCCAAACTTCACCTCAAGAGGTGGAACTTCCAAGTCCGTGGGGGTCCACGGATTTAGAACCCCAAAAGTGGTGGGCCCCATAAATTCCATCTTCCTAATTTTCTAACAGCCTGTTTGGATACAATTCAAGAAGAAATGGAAATGGAATTCTATTTCCAATTCCTATTTTTATAGAATTCCATTTCCAATTTTAGTGTTTGGTATAATTCCTCCAACTAAAGAAATGAATTGCACTTTTAACAATAATTAATAATATAATATATTTATTTTATCTTGGGAAATGAAATATGAATGATGGAGAAAGAGAGTAGTATAATAGTTGGTTAGTAAAATAATAATAAATAGTGATGGGACCCACTAATTCCATCTTCATAAACACAATTCCTATAACTTTTGATAGGAATTGTAATTCCCAAAACTTAGCCAAAATGGAATTCATTTCTCAACCTTCTTATCCTTCCAAACATAAAATATGGAACTGGAATTGAAAATGGAATTCCAATTCCTGAGTTTTTTGTCTATCCAAACAGGCTGGCAAACGATGGATTTCGGTTCAAGTCCATGATGGATATATTTCCATGACCAAATCCATCACCAAAACCCTCAAGCAAACGACCCCTTAATGATAAGATTAAGTCGTTTTTTTGGTTCACTTTGAGTTCAAATGCATGTATTATCTTTTTGTTGGGCCCACCTATAATCCCTCAAAATGAATGATTTTAAATCTCTACCAAAAGGTGAGATTGTTAACAAGGGATTGTCTACCCTACTTTTTGTTTCATCATTGCCCCTCCAAACAAAGTATTTTCCTAATACATGCATTGAATCAATACATCAAATGATAATACACAAATTGAACAAATACATTTATTTGGAGAATCTCAACCTCCAAACATGCCGTAGATCTCAATAATGAGCTTTGTAACAAAATAAAATATAAAAATATATATACACAAGAAACACACATCGCCTCCTCCTTAATCTCAATCAGCGTTCTTCTTTATTGTATAGTACAAACCTCATTTCAAAGTGGCAAGTTAACTCAATAATTATATAAAAACAGGTTTATCAAAAATTCATTATCTTCTAATTGATTAATCCGTGGAACGGGAAGGACCGAGAAAGGACGAAAACATATAATACAGCAGAAAAAGTGAGTGGGTCAGCATCGTAAGTCAGAAGAGAAACAAAACAACAAAACGAAAAAGACCGTCTCGCTGGGAAGCAAGCAGAAGAAGCCGCAGCCACAAGCCCCAACAGCGCCACAGCCCACGTTGGCGAAGAGGGCGGAAGAAAGGGAAGCAACAATTCCATGTGCCCACATGGCTTCCTGCAGCTGTACTCTTCTTCATCACCATTTCTCCTCCTCCTCCTCCTGAGAGCCCATCCCTAATTTCATCCCCATTTCTCTCCCTCCCTTTGTTCTCTTCCCTGATCTCCTTTCTTCCTCTCCTGTGATTTCTGCGATACCCACAAGAAAAAGATCAAATTTTTACGACAAGATGAAGGAGGGCAACGATGGGTTTGTCCGCGCGGATCAGATTGATCTCAAGAGCCTTGACGAGCAACTTGAGCGCCATCTCAGTAGGGTTTGGACTATGGACAAGAACAAGCGATCTGAAGATTCCAATCTTCCTCCATCTGCTGCTGGTGCTGCTGTTCCAACTACTACTACTTCCCTCCACGCTTCAAAACCTACTTCCATGGCCGCCGCTACCGCCGTCACCGCCGCCTTGACTAAGGACAGGCGGGAATGGGAGATCGACCCTTCTAACCTTGTTATCAAGGGTGTCATTGCTCGTGGTACCTTTGGGACAGTCCACCGTGGTGTCTACGATGGCCTCGATGTCGCCGGTAAACCCTTTGTGTTTTTTGCTCCCTTCTTTCAATCCTTCCTTCTGATTTGCTTATCGTCTTCATTTTTGCTGTGATTAGTTAGGTCTGTGGGGAGCATGGTTTTTTAGGTTACATGGGCGATTGGTCAGACTATCAATTTTGTTTCTGTAGCCATTTGTTGGTCCAGCTTGATACGGCGATGATCCTGAAACCTTCTTTCCCATTGCTGCGCTTCTTTTACTAGTTTGAGCAAAAGGTTGACTTAGATTTGGAAATTCATAATGGGTTTGTAACACTGGTGGGGTTTGGTTGTTTGAAGGAGTAGTTCTGATGCAGCCCGTGAATCAACACGGGTGAGGGGTGGAGTTGTTCATTAAACCAAAAACTTGGAGAGTTGGTGTTATCATTTGTCGAACTTTCATGTGATCCCAGGCTGTTGTTTCTTAATGTGACCCTATGAAAGAAAGACATTCACACATAAGGGGACGCAGAGAAAAAAGGAGGGGGGGGGGGGGGGGGGGGGGACTTTTCTGTATATTTGGCTGCTAATGTGAAAATTGCGATTTTTCTGATAGCTTGTTGAACAATTTCTGTCCTTTCAAGAGGTTAATTTCTTATGTCATTTGCTCCGAGAGTAAACTTCTCTAGTGTAAGCTTATTGCCGTACATCTTCTGATTGTTTGTTGTACTGAGCGTGACTTTCATTCTGTTAAATCCCTCAGTTAAGCTGCTTGACTGGGGTGAAGAGGGACATAGGACAGAAGCTGAGATTGCCTCACTAAGAGCTGATTTCACACAAGAAGTTGCTGTTTGGCACAAGCTTGATCATCCTAATGTAACTAAGGTACATATGTTTAATCTTGGTTTGTCTATTTATCCGCTTATATGGAAGAAGAACTAGATAGTCACGGGATAGGTTGCGGCTGGCTTGTTAAGATTTTTAATTCTGAAGTCAACCAGTCTCAGCTTGCTCGAACAATTGAATGGGATTTATGCAATGGGCTGAGGTACACCGTGTGTACTTTGCTGTTTCCTGTTACATCTTAGAGATTTGTCCTTCCGTTCTTGGCCTTTAAGGTCTTTCGAAATCCATGGAACATTTCACTAGGTCACATAGGTTTTTGACTTTGCATATTTGATTTGATTTTTTGTCCGCACTTCTGCCGTTTATGGTACATTTGGCACCTTTGGAGGCAACAAACTTTTGTATCTAGACCTTAGGGTTGCTTCTCATTCAATCTATTCAATTCACTTCCTTTTTAGATGTTTTTATTAGATGTCTCGGTTTTTTTCTCGTGTATCCGAAAGACTTCACTTTCACAGGTTACCTTGAATAAATTTTAGCCTACTATTTTGGGGTTTCCCCATTTTTAGGGCTAGAGGGGTTTCTCTTTTTGGAATTTGATAGTAGAAGATGTGTTCTTTGCATTGCTGGACTTCTTATATCTTTGTCCTCTCTTTTCTTTGGAATGAAGCGCATATGCTTTGAATTTAGGAGACCAATTCCCGTTCGTCCTTTTACCCATCAAAGGCCTTAATTTGACATGCCTAAGTTGCATGCTAAACATTTTACTCTTTCAAGAGCATGAGAAGTTATGTCTACTATCTGTTACATCTGCGCTAATGATCCTAGTATATTTAATTATTTATTCTCTAACCTAGAGATGAAGAACATAAACTTATTTTTTCTACTAATTTTGGCATAGTTCATTTTTGTCATGCCATTCTTGCCCGTATCCACCTTAATTTTCTTGTCTGGCCATCAGGGCATCGTCCTTTTGTCTCATATATTGGATAAATGGAGAATACCCAAACTTCTACTATTTCTTCATTTGGTTAGTCCTGTGGCATTTTAAAGGGCATGTGGGCTTCCCACTTACTGGATTATCTTTCTTGGTTTCCCCAGCGAAAACTCTTATGTTGCTTATAACAGTGAGATCTGGAGATACTGCTGGACTTGTACTAATTCTTTTTCTCTCCTGCCCATCAACCAGTTCATAGGTGCAACAATGGGCTCATCAGATTTGCATATACAAACCGAGAACGGTCAAATTAACATGCCTAAGAACATATGCTGTGTTGTTGTGGAATATCTTCCTGGAGGTGCACTGAAATCTTACCTTATAAAGAATCGCAGACGGAAGTTAGCTTTTAAAGTAGTTGTCCAGCTGGCGCTTGATATGGCTAGAGGGTAAATGAGACACCATCTTCATTAATTATTTCCAGTCGGTACCCTAATCGAGTCATTGAATACTGACCTTCGAATTGATTACACTTTTGTAGGTTAAGTTACCTTCATTCACAGAAGATAGTTCACAGAGATGTGAAGACAGAAAACATGTTACTGGATAAGACACGCACTGTGAAGATTGCAGATTTCGGGGTAGCTCGTGTCGAGGCTTCAAACCCTAATGATATGACTGGGGAGACAGGGACACTCGGATATATGGCTCCTGAGGTACATATATATACTATGATTTACAAAGATGCTTAAGGGGCTGTTTGATTACTTGGAAGTGTCCGTGATATGAGAATACATGGTGTCTGACAATCCATCTTTTTTACCTGTCATAGTCTAGTATGGAAACCATGCAATTGGCCTTTCATATCTTAACAGGATTCATGACACCATGTATTCTTAACGATATACCAAAGTACATGGCAATGAACCCTTAAATTCAATCACTGTTTTTTCAACAACTATTTTTAAAACTACACTGCAACGTATTTTTGTATGCTGGGTTTGACAGGTTCTGAATGGAAATCCGTACAACAGAAAATGTGACGTGTATAGTTTTGGTATATGTTTATGGGAGATCTATTGTTGCGACATGCCCTACCCCGACCTTAGTTTCTCGGAAGTGACCTCAGCTGTTGTCCGCCAGGTAAGCTCACTCTTGTTTCTGTATCCTCCCTCTGCTGCATAGTCTGCAGATTCAACCTGCTGACACTTTGATATTTGTTTGGTACTGCAGAATCTGAGACCCGAGATACCAAGATGTTGCCCGGGCGCTCTAGCAAACATAATGAAGCGATGTTGGGACGCCAACCCTGACAAGCGGCCAGAGATGGACGAGGTTGTGTCATTGTTGGAGGCTGTTGACACAACAAAAGGGGGTGGCATGATCCCTCCCGACCAACAAGGCGGTTGCCTCTGCTTCCGCAGAACCCGAGGCCCTTGAATCCCTCCCCGCTGCTTATGAAGCTGTTGCTGTATGTAGTAAATGGTAAAGATCATGGTAATGGTTGATTTATGGGGACACATACTAGGGGGGTTGAGGAGGAGATGCAGTAGATCTTTACTTTATTACATGTAAAGCTTTTCATTCCTCTAATCTCTTCCTGCTGCTTTTCTTCTTAGTTTGGGGTAGCCATTTTTTTAAGGAGGGTATGGCTGATATATGTCTTCTTCCTGCCATATATATATGATGATGAACTCATTTGTGTAGCATGCCCTCCGAGTCCTTAGGTCACTGCTAAACTCTTTAGTATTATGGGAAAAGTTTAGTGGTTTATGTACCTGGAACTGATCAGAGATTGAGTCCTGTAGTTGATTAAATACTGTTTTAGATGTTTGATTCTGTAAGTCACAATCAAGAACGATTTGCTGTTGTATGTGTCACTTCATTGTGTGGTAGATCAGGTGGATGTGTGTATTGGCCTATTACCTTAAAATGATCTGAACTTTCTTTTGATCGAAAGCGATTCAAATTAGAAAACAAATACGAAATGGCCACGCATTCGTATTCGTGGGATGGAAATCTTTCGAGGGAAGTCCTTAAGAAGAAAAAAAAATGAGCACTTTTTTTTTTGTTTCCATTTACTTGCATAAAATTTGTTGTAGATACAAAACAAGCAATACAGTACTAACAAAGTAAACAATGCTGAATGCTGCATTTTCTGTGACAGTACAATGGAAGTCATTGGTGTCATTTTTTATTTGTTAGCTAGCCCCCTAAAACTCATCTTAACTACAACAACAAAAACCAAAACTAATAACATATAATCTTCTCTGATCCGAACCAACTCGATTATGATGCTGTTTTTCTTTCCTTTTTTTTCCTGCTGCAATTTCTTCTTTAACTCTCCATATCTTGTTTGTATTGTATGTCCCCTGTTTTTTCTTTTCTTTTCTTTTCTCCTTTCCAAATTGAACAAAAGCAAGCAAAAGAGAAACGAAGTAGAAACAATAAACAAAGAAGGAATTGCTGAAAACAAATGCTCCAATGGGGAAGAAGAAGAAGAAGATCCCACATTATTATGAATTTGGTTTTGCTGGCGCATATAATACTTCTCCTAAACCTTACTGGAGAGCTGAATCTCGGAGAACTCCTCCTGATGGCCGCCACGAGGTGGTTGATCGTCATCGTCGTCCCAATTCGTCGTTCTGTAGTAGATCGCGTACAATACCAGCTGTAGCAACGCAAACAGCGATCCCAGACCATTCGGTATCTACACGAATGAAGTTAAAACAATTTTCATCATTCACCTTGCGTGCACCCTTCACTGTTCGTTAATGCTGAGGTCAAATACTCAAGTCATTCACAGTATGCTACTGCTTACCAGAATGTTAACGTCGAATTTTAGGAGGGCATAGATAGTCCAAACGATTCCATTGCAGAACCCAGCCAAGGAAAGGAAGAAGGGCATGTACTTTACGCTCTTCGTCTTGATCACCATTTTCTGCTCACCAGTTCATACTACTAGTTAGTAATGGCAAAATTCTACAATTGTCCTCCCAGAGAAAAATGTAGTAAAAAATACGGTCCTACATCAAAGCGTTTTGGTTACTCATAAGCGTAAAAACACAAGCTTTTAAGCTTTGAAATGCCATTTTGATTGCATTGCACAAAACGCAGTCAAAATCTAAAGTTTTTTTTTTTTTTTTTTGCAAAACATTAGAAGTGTAAAAATGTAAGTTTTTAAATTTTAAAACGCGATTTTGACTACATTGATCCCAATGAATCTGGACTACAGTATGGTAAGTTTAACGTACCACGACGGTCAAGGGAGAAGCGTACATAATGACGTTGAAGACGATGCAGAGGAGGCCGACGAACATGGCCCTCTTCGGAGGAGCGTGGAAGACGAGCAACGTGATGAGCAACACTCCAATGAAGAAGGCCGTTTCCACCAGCAACGTTATGATCAGCTTCCTCTGCATTATTATTATTATTATTATTATTATTATTATTATTATTATATCACATCATCAGTACTCTCTTTCGACAAAATGAATGGGATGATTAATACATGCTACGCATTGAAGTATGCGTAGTACGAGTAGTAATATTATGTAAGTACTGTTACGTAATTTGCAGGCAGGCCAGGTCATCAGTTAAACGTACTGTTACGCTACGAGTACGGTTATGTAATTGCAGAGTGATTAGGTAGATCAGTACTTACTCGCTTAACCCAGGGAGAGAAGATGAGGAAGATGGCCACGTAGATCAACTCCAAGAAGAAACCGAAGCCGTTGATGGTTACCACGAGTAAGCTGTCCGGTTTTACGAACGGCATCCCGTACAAACTCCACATCGCGCAGTTCAGCAGCGTCATCACGTACGGATCAGCCTTGAAATCCTGCACCGCTTTCTGTTTGATTATCTGCACGAACGTTGGCCTGCAAAAAAAAAAAAAAAAAAAAAAAGAAAAATCAAGTTACTGAGGACGAACTGGTTCTCTCATCGCGCGATAAGGGGCGGAGCTAAGATTTTGAATTCGGGGGGGGGGGGGCGAAAATGTCCCGTAGTATATTAACGTAACTAGACAAAAAAAAAACCAAAATAATTATATAACTATATGAACAAATTAAAATGTGCGATGTTTTGTCAAATAATTAGATTGGTTCAAGATGTAATGTATTATAATATCTTCAATATAAATGAGTAAAATATCAACAAATATTTTTTCAATTTGTAGCAAGCTATTTAATATATTATTTTTAGAAGAAAATTAGCATTTATGTTTAAGAAAGTATCTAAAATTTTAATTTGATAAATTAAGAAAGTCATTAAGTTGAAATTTAAGTGATTAAGAAATCAAAGTATAAATTTTAAATAGTTAGATTGATTTTCCATCAAAATTATTGTTAAACTTATCGGAGCAAATTTATCACTAAAATAATTTGAACAACTTAAATTTCAAACTTGCGAAACTAAAATATATAAATTTAAAGAAACTAAATTAACTTTACATCAAGACTATAACTAATAACCGCAAATTAAGAATATGTGAAAAAATGAGATAAAATGTTAAAACTCCAACCAAAAACTAAAGTTAGTGGGCATCAAACCAATGACTAGTAGGTTATAGCAAGTGTGCAACTCCGCTAGGGTAAGTGGCTTCATTTGGTACATTGTTGCACGGATCTTGTAATTACTTTAATACGTTAATTACTACGTAATTTTCGAATATTCATTCGTGATATTCAAAATTCTCGGGGGGTCGGGGCCCCTCCCAGGCCCTGTGTAGCTCCGCCCCTGCACGCGATACTGCATGTTGAGAAATTACTACTTTTTTTTATACGTTAGGGAGGAGCGAGATCCGAATGACTTACAGTGGGGATAGAAACAGGAAGAAGGAGATGACATTTCCTGCAATGTCGCACAATATAATAAATGAATCATTATAGTAACTGATTTCTCTCTACCTTTTTCACCATGTATAATTTTGTATGAACATTAGATGATCAGTAATGAGTTATTATTAGTTTACCAATGATGCCGACAACAGTACGAACGAACATGGTGTCAACCATTTTGGCTTTTTTCTCTTTTTTTTTTTTTTTTTTTTTTGGCTTTTTCGGGGGTTCTGATTTGATTTCTAGCTGGTCGAGATTATGGTTAGAAAGTGAGGGTTAACAATATGGATCAAGAAACGAAGAAGAAGAAGAAGAGTTAATGAACAAGTGGGATTCGAGATCTAGTTACGTTTCGAATGCTGATTAAGTAGAGGGTTTAGTTTGAAATGTAGGAAATGATGGATGGGATTATTATAGGTAGAGTGGTGATGAGGAATTAGGGCATTATCAAGAATGGCTGGTGATGGTTAGTTTTGGCTGCTGTTCTGTTCTGTTCTGTTCTGTTCTGATTTGATCTGATCTCTATTTGTTCTTGTCTCTTAATTGTGTGAAGCTGCTTTCCCCCGAAGGTGACGGTTTAATTGGGGAAAGGAAGAGAGTAAACGGGACAGCGAGTCAGAGAGAGAGACCATTTTCTCGATCGCTTGTTTCTCGCTTCAGTTTCGACGTACGTACGTAGGTAACTGGCTGACTGATGCATGCATGCATGCAGGCAGGATGTGTGTTCTTATATTTAGATCTTCTGAGGGTTTCTAACCCTTTCCATTTTTGTCAAATTCCGTTTTTGGAGTTGTTCTCTTTTGTTAGCCTGAGATCCACTTTGTGGAAAACATTGGGTGGTCTTGTAGGTCAAGATGTTGGAAATGTTATGAGTTGGTCATAGCTAGCGGCGAGGTTGTCATTCCTTTGAAGAATTTTACGATGAATTTGATATTAATCACCACTTTTCTTTTTCTGAGCCCAGAATCCTACAACAAAAGTTATAAGGACTCTTGGAGAAATTCTATGTAAAAAAAGGAAAACTCTTTGAGAGATATGCTTACTTTCACCCTTTTGGATTCAATTTAAACACCAAAGATTATCTAGGAAATCCAAGATCCGATTCTGCAAATTTCTGAAGTTTATTCAATTTGAAACAAAGCTTATAGGGTCTTTAACAAACAAACTGATCACACACTGACCCATTGTTTGGAACTAAATGGATGTTTCGAAATAAAACAAATGAGTTAGGACAAATGACTCGAAACAAAGCTCAGTTAGTTGCTGAAGGGTAATGATCGTGAAATGAATGAGGGGTTTGTTCCCCGGACAAAGGACCAAATGCAATACCATTGGCTATGTATTGCTGTATAACTAGATCTTGTAAATCAACTTTGAGGCTCATAATTTTCCTTGTCTTATTTTTCATCTTCAATGTCACATTATTGATAATCCTGATAACAATTCTAGCAATATCATTGATGAATTTGGTTGAAGCAAACTTTGAGTATTGTTATTGATTGAATGCTTGATTTGTTACAGAAGGTTTCCTACTCTATTTATACAAGAGGAAAGATAATAAACAATAAGAAGGAACATGCTGAAAGCATGGGTGTTGCCAGGAGTAATATGGGTTGTCTGGAAGTAGCATGGGACTCCTGGAGTGGCATGGGTATTCTGTTGCAGTTGTCTGGTAGAGGTGAATAAATGGTGATGGTATGGTGGATAGTGGTGAATGCTGTAACTATCAGCATTGATGATTTCCTTCACTCCTCCTCAAACGAAGACATGAATATTAAGAATGCTGAGTTTGAAGAGAAAGGTCATGACGACTGACATCTTGGACGATGTTGATTTGGGGACTGCTGACTTCGTCTCTTCGAGCAAATTGATAGACAGATCGACATCTTTGACATTGTGATCGATCTGATGACTGAATTGGTCGACCGGATGACTGAATCGATCGACTGATCTGTGTTGATTATGTTGATTCCCTATTCTCCCCCTCAACCTGGAGCATGAAAACACCGTGAATGCCCAGGTTGAAAGGTGATGAATAATTGGTCTTAGCCCAATAATAAACACTGAGAGGTCGATCTTATCTTGGACCGTGTCTGCCCTTTGGACGCTGAGGGTACGATCTCTTCTTGGATCGTGCTACTGTCTAAAAACGCCACAGGAACGATCTGATCGATAATATCTCGTGAAGCAGAGGAGCCGATCTTTTCTTGGGTTGTGTTTGCCATTTGGACGCCGAGGGGTCGATCTCTTCTTGGATCGTACAACCGTCCAACGTCAAGGTAACAACCTGATCGGAGAAACCTCGCACAGTGGCTTGACAATCATTGCATACAGAAGCTCTCTTTATCTCCAACACTGGCTATTGAAGGGACGGTCAACACTTGGGTCGTAACTATCTTCACTGCCATGACATTGTTGGTGATGATTTGCTTTCTTGCCAGCAAAATGAAATCGCCACTAATTGATAATGGGACATAAGAAACACAGGGATCAACGCCTTGTAACTCGACTTGAATGTTGAGGAAAAGAAATCCCTTTCCTCTCCTCGACTGCGCCATACAATCTAACGGGCTATTGCATAACTGCGACTTCTCTCTCGAATGGGCTAGTTGAATTTTAGCCACTTCCACCATACAATTAAATGTTGGGCCGCTATTGGATTGGATGGAAGGCCCGAACTGGTGTGAAAACAAATGGGCAGCCCGATCTGGTGGGTTAGAACTTAGAATTGGGGCGGCCTGATTTAGTTGAGGATGGAACCTTCTGAGTTCTGCCTCGTGAATTCCGGCGTTCCCCTTCTTCACTTCTCCACGCTGCTGCTTCTAAATTTCCTCAACTCCAATTCTCCTTCCATTTCTCTCTTTGTCCCCCAATGACCCATAAAATGCATCAATCATCGGAGGGACGAGGAAAAGAACGACCGGCGACAAGGGTGAAAGTACTGCAACGTCGGGAGGTCTGGAGCTGGAGACGACGACTAGTGACCGTCTCGATGGCCCCGAGACAGCGACGACGATGATGTTCCAGCGGCGACTCCGATGAGGGACCAAGACGGAGGTGAACTCGCCGTTGCCAGGGTTGGAGGCGGAGGAGACGAGGTTGGAAATCTTGATCTGCCGGCGTCTCGGTTTCTGCTACTGATCCTCCTGGCCCTTCGGTGAAGACGGTGTAGATGGCCGGTGACTTGTTTTGCCGGCGGTGGCGATTGGAGACGGAAGTCGCTGATGTGGGTGCTGGTGGAAATTGACGACCATAGAAGTTCACGGTGGTGTCGATGGAAGATGCACAGTCGATGTTGTTGCGGATGCTGATGGTCTTCGCGCCGGTGATCTGTAATCCTTCTTCCTCCAAGGCACAAGCTGGCGGCCGGGACTCAACTTTGACCAGACCGTGACTGAGCGATGGCGGCGATGATGGCCGGAGTGGACATCTAATCTACTGCGGCCGTGATTGAGCGCTCGCCGATTTGGAATGGCGGATCTCGATGGCCGAGATCCATGACAGCGGTAACTGACGGAGACTGGGGCGATGACGGAAGGGATTTTGTTCCCCTTCCAAATCGCTGATTTCTTTCAGGCGAACCGAAAACGAGGTCGAAGCGACAGTGGCTACGGCATCGACGGCTGGTTGACCCGGTAAACAGAGAAATCAACGGCTATAGCAAATTGGCGATGGGCCATCTGAGGAAACGCATCGGCGACGACATGGTGACGGTGATTATGATGATAGCGACGGGATGAGAGACCGATGGTGACGACGCCGAGCTGTGGCTGGCGTCGCGGAAGTTGGTTGATTAAAGGCGGTGGCTACTAGAGAGCTCGCCGGACTGAGATTTCCCCCGGGAATTGATCTGCCAAAGAGATTGGCTGACGGCGGAAGGACTTCTTCTGGACAAGAGATGGCCTTTATTGAGATGGCCGGAGATGGTGGTGTTAATTGGTTATGGTGGAAACATGACTGAAAATGCGGAAGCATGATGAATTAAGTTGTGTATTCATCAAGAAAGAATGGTAGAACACCATTCTAACTGGTACCAAGCTGCAAACTATCCGAGTACAGAAAATTTACAACCACTCAAACTACAGAACAACATCTGCTAACTAACAAAGTGACCTGTCTAAAAACAAGAGACAAACAAATTTTACACTATACTGATTATCTCGGCCTCACTAATGGCTGAACTAATTTGAGGGAAACCATTTCTCAGCAAAAGCAGCATCTACTGCAACTTCTTCAGCAGTTGTTCCTCTGTTAGTGTCTCGCTGCCATATAACCTTCGACATCGCTCTCTCCATAGTTCACTTACCACTGTCAACCAAAGCAGCCTACCCCTGTCAGAGTTTTGAGAAGTTACTTTAAACCGATCTAAAACAATCGCCAAATTCTCATCCCAGCACCTTCCTAGTTGGATCCTCCCGTGAAAAACAGACTGCAAAATCTTTTGAGAATAAGGGCACCCAAAAAATATATGACTCCTTGACTCTGGTGCAGCAGCACAAAGGGGGCATGTGTTAATAACAGATGGACTCCAATCCTGCACCTTTTCCAGTGTGCTTATCCTGTTGAGAATGATAAGCCACCCTAGTACTTTGTCTCGAGGTGTACATAGAGATTTCCGGACTAAATCATGCCAAGGGACCTTGACATATCTTGGCCGAAGAGACTCCCAGACTTTCTTTACTGAATACTTGCTCATAAGCTGGCCATCTCAATAGACCTCAGAGTGCCTAGTGGAGAGATGATGCTCTGCATAACTCCTTGTCATTAAGACCTTTCTCCATGCCCAAGAACAGTTTATTGACGATGGGATGTCCCAGATAGATGTGTAAGTGAGCTGATATTGACGAACCCAGTGAGCCCATAAAGGAGGAATTCGATGCCAAAGCCCATAGATGCCCGATAAGACAAGCAGTGTTCCAACTTCTTAGATCCTTGAAACCTAAGCCTCCCTCCTTTTTTGGCCGAGCCACATATTTCCATTGCACTTTTGCCTTCTTTCCCTCCTCCTCAGCATTCCACAAGAAATCAGAACAGAGTTTTCTACCTGTTTGATCACCTTGACAGGCAAAGTAATAATCCCCATCCAATATTGTGTTATACTAGATATTACTGCTGTAACTAATTGCAGTTTCCCAACATAGGAGAGAGCTCTAAAATTCCAACCCTTAATTCGAGCGATTATTTTTGCAACTAAAGCAGCACAATCAGCAGAGTTTAACTTCCCAGCAACCAGAGGGACTCCTAGGTATCGTACTGGAAGTTTCCCAACTACAAACCCAGTCCTCAAAGAGAGTTGTCTCCTAGTTTCAACATCTACTCCGGCACAGAAGACTTCACTTTTTGCTGGATTGCATTTCAATCCTGACACAGTATAGAAAATGTCTAGGATCTGTTTTGTGGCCTCCACTGCCTCACAAGTTCCTTTAGTAAAAATGAGCAGATCATCTGCAAAACAAAGATGGGATAGAGCTATCCTATGTGTTTGAGGGTGTAGGGGAAGAGTTTTGAGCACATAGGCCCTGTTCAACATGCAAGATAGTACTTCCATTGAGATTGTGAAGAGGTAAGGGGACAGAGGGTCCCCTTGCCTCAACCCCCTTTTTTGCAGAAAAATAGCCACAGAGGCCCCCATTAAAACTAACACTGAGCTTGGTACTGTGCAGACATATACTAATCCATTGTATAAACTGGCTAGGAAACCCCATTGCACCCATAACTGTTTCCAGGAAATCCCAATCCACACTGTCAAAAGCCTTCATTATGTCAACCTTTAGAGCACATCTAGGTGATACATATTTTCTGTTATAGAGTCTAACCATCTCATAAGCAAGCAACACATTATCACTAATGAGCCTCCCTTTAATGAAGGCAGATTGGTTTTGGCTTATAACTAGCGGAAGTACCTCTTTTAATCTGTTAGCTAGGACTTTGGCTATGCATTTGTAGAGTATGTTACAGCAGGAGATAGGCCTGAATTGTTTCATGCATTCAGCATTTAGCACTTTAGGTATAAGAGCCAGGTAAGTGGAATTTACCTCTGTGAGAAGCTTTCCTGTCTTGAAGAAATCCATTATAGCCTTTGAGACATCAGCCCCCACTATCTCCCAATTATACTGGAAAAAACCTGTTGTAAACTCATCGGGTCCTGGGGATTTGTCACCATTCATTGAGAACATTGCAATCTTTATTTCTTCATAGGAAATTGGAATACACAGAGAGTCCCCCTGATCCGAAGGCAGATGATGAATTAGCAGCTGAGTGAGCATGTCACTAAAAACTGCTTGCACTGCCTGATCCTTAGTCCCTAACAAGTCTTTATAGAAATGTACTACTTCCCTACTCATACCCTGAACCTCAGTGAGAACTGTTCCATCCTCAGTTATTAGTTTTTTTTATGGTAGACCTGGATTGTCTTGCTTTTACAGAATTGTGAAAGAAAGAGGTGTTCAGATCCCCAGTCTTCACCCACAACATCCTTGATTTCTGCCTATAAAAGGATTCCTCCTCAAAAAGTAAAGTATTAAGAGCTGCTTGACAATCATTCAGGACTTGAAAATTGGCAGCAGAAGGATAGGACAGAGCAGCCAGGTGCAAGCTCTCCAACTTCTTTTTCATTTCCCTTACTTTCTCTGAGATCTCAGAGTAGAAAACTCTATTTAATTTCTTCAGGCTTCTTTTTACTTCCTTCAGCTTCTGGCAGACTACAAACATAGAAGTACCAGTAAGAGTTATACCCCAAGCATCCTTTATTAGTTGCTTGTGCTGAGGGTGAGATTCCCAGTGCTTGAAGTACTTAAAGGGTTTGGGCAGGGTGGCAATGAGAGAATCAGTGTTTATGAGCATTCCACAATGGTCCGAGAGCCTTGGGAGAAGCAACTTGACCACATAATTTGGAAATGTAGCTAACCAACTGGCATTTACCAATACCCTGTCTATCCTCCGAGCTATGGGATTCCCTCCTTGCCTATTAGTCCAAGAGAACCATGGACCCTCAAATCTGCTGTCCTCCAGTTCCATGTCTTCTATCCAACTTCCAAAATACTCCATACTATTGTTTGGGCTAGGGCTGTTAGAGGCTTCTAAAACATTCCTTATAGCATTAAAGTCCCCAAGGACCACCCATGGGAACACATCAGGTTTGAGAGCCGGATGTTGATACATTCTAGATCTCTCACCTACATCATTGGAACCATATACAAAAGTTACCTTTGCTGAAACCTCTCCTCGAACTTCACCATGAACAAATAGGTCAGATCTCTCCAACACAACAAAATCGAAATCCTTCTTCCAAAACACCCATAATCGGCCTAGGTCTGAGTGCTCATAGTTGTGAGCAAATTCCCACCATCCAAAAACAGTGCTAACAATCTTCTTTGAGTTTTCTTCCTTGACCCTTGTTTCAATAATTCCAAACACATCAACATTATACTGAGTAACTATTTCTAGAATCTGCTGCTGCTTGGCGGGGTGATTAAATCCCCTAATGTTCCAAGCAAGCACTATCATTTCTTATTCTTGGGTTTAGCAGGGCGCCCTGACCCTTTCTTACCCTGCTTACCTTTGTCCAATACCGCTGCCTCCAGTACAGGAAAATCCTCTAGATTACTCAGAACCGGGCTACCCACAAACCACTTTATCTGCTTTATCTGCTACATTACTATCAACTAAGCTTTGAAACCGATTTGCCACAGGGGTAATGGCCCTTGCATCAGAATGCCTTTCTAACGTTGAATGGAACTCCTTATCCGAAGGTAACACAGATTCTGCATTCTTCCACTCTGAGAGAACTCCCTGCTCAATAGATTTCACCAAATTTGCAACAGCAATGTTCAAGTTACGACAAGCAGACTCCGCAGATGCCTGTGCAGATCCCTTGGAAGCAAGGATAGTATCCAAGATCAGCTGCCCAGCACTCCCTTCACTCACTGCCCCAGCCCCTTCAGCCACTGGTTCATCATTAAGTACCAAATCAGAACCATTTGCCTCTACTCCTTGAGGTTCAGCACACTGATGACCAAAAACACTACACTTCTGACATCCCAGAGGACGATTGCAGTACTCAAGAGCCACTGAGAAAGCTGGTTTTCTGTCTGGTACCAACTTGATAGAGTCTGGGAAAGGGGAATCAATAGACATTTCCACACAGACCTTAGGAAATCCCATTCTCCAGCCTAACCTAGTAGATTGATCGAACCAAAGGGGTTTACCAAGCATGCTAGCTATCCGCGTCAGAATTCTACCAATAGCGTATTCAACTGGAATATCCTGAAAACAGACCCAAATAGGGATGGTAGAACTACAATCCACTGCTCGGATACCTGGAGACCATTTTCGAAGGAAACACATGTCATCGTTGAAGTGCCACGGCCCGCTGGTGAAAACCCAATCAGCTACCTCAGAGCTTGGGAATTGGAAAACCGTCAATTGCTCGCTCAATCGTGAAACCCTAACCCATCCTGATTTCCCCCACAGACGATTCGCCCAACTCTGAAGCTGCTTCACAGAAGGGGAGGAGTGCAGGAATTGCCCTACCAGGCTATGCTTCCACCTTTCTTCGCCCTCCTGAATAAGTTCCTCCGGAATGCGCAATCCTCCGTCCACGAACTCTGGTTCGATGAAGACCAATCGATTCGCCTCAACAATGCTGAACAGATCAGCCCAAGATTTAGCAAGGGAAGCCATCTCGGGCCAGAGCAATTTTCTTCTTCTTTGGTTTCCCTTCACTAGATTCAGAATCCAGCTCTGAAACCATGATGAATTTGGTTGAAGCAAACTTTGAGTATTGTTATTGATTGAATTCTTGATTTGTTACTGAAGGTTTCCTACTCTATTTATACAAGAGGAAAGATAATAAACAATAAGAAGGAACATGCTGAAAGCATGGGTGTTGCCAGGAGTAATATGGGTTGTCTGGAAGTAGCATGGGACTCCTGGAGTGGCATGGGTATTCTGTTGCAGTTGTCTGGTAGAGGTAAATAAATGGTGATGGTATGGTGGATAGTGGTGAATGCTGTAGCTATCAGCATTGATGATTTCCTTCAATCATTATAACAGATAAATTGTAAATACATACTCCACAATATATTGTGAATGATATTGTTTTGAACAAACCATATAGAGACTAAACCGAGAAACAAACAATTAATCAAGCTGATGGGTTTACGAACTAACACGTGAAAAGTGGCAGATCAACTAGCAAATAATAATGCTGGAGTGGTTTCCATACCTAAAATATAATCTTCTGTTGATCATAGGCTTGTAACATGAGGCAGGATCAGGTCCACGATTCAGACCATAGAATACAATAATAAACACTCATAACTTGAAGAGAATCTTTCCAAATCACGAACCATCCCCAACTGACGCTGACACAACCATTATTAATCCAAAATTTTTTGGGGTCATATTCTTATATATATATGATGTCACGTATATGTACAGACAAATTGTAGCAATAGCTAATTACAACACTTCACCGATGCAATGCCAAGCAGACAGAGTTATTAGCTCAATTCCCCTGAAGAGATAATGGTGATGGAGATAATCATCTCTGTTGTCCTGTTGGTGGGAGGAATCTCTGCTTTGGTGTTCATCCACATCTGCATAGTCAGCAGGGCTTTCGCCGGTGATGATCATCAGAAAGTCGTCATATTCGATGACGGAAATGGGTTTCGCCGCCGCGGCGTCGGCGGCGGCAGGGGAGGGATCGAGAAGGTGTTGGATGAGGAGGCGATGATGGAGAGCGGGATCCCCTGTTTTAGCTACAAACAGGGCAGAGACGGAAGCGCGAGCGCGGTTGTGGAGTACTGCGTGGTTTGCTTGGAGAAGTTGGCGGTTGGGGAGAGTTGCAGGCTGCTTCCCAACTGCAGCCACTGCTTTCATGCTCGGTGTATAGATTCCTGGCTTCTCCAGACGCCCGTCTGCCCGATTTGCCGGGCCGGAGTCGACGTCGTCGCCTCCCCTGTTTCTGGTTCTGATTCCGGGGAACTAGTCAGCGGCCTTGTTGAGGACGGATAGCGAGGGAGCTTAATTCATGCTCTGTGAAAAAATCATGTTGATGGATGTAAAGTTTTCTTTGCTTTCTTTCCCCCCTGAATCCATACATAGTCAAATGTAGATTAAACTTCTCTTTTCCTATGGTTATTGGCTCCTTGGTAATACCTGCAACTGCAATAACCTGACATCCTCGATTTCGTGAGCGTAACTTTGAAATTCGAGATCGGTGATTTCGAAATCGGTATAACTAACGTTATCGTCCTGTTACTGGTATCGCTAAATCAAATGAGACCTTGGCAGAACAAAAACTCGATCCATGAATCATAAGAGCATATGAATAAGGGGATATGCAGCAGTCGACCTAAGTGTCTTCTTCCAATAATTGAAGATTGACCTTATCATCTGACTACAAGATTTGAAGAAAGATGGGATTACTTCGTGGTGCAAGCTTTGAAATCAAGCCTTGGCCTCACTGTCGGCAGGGCTGGCAAGTCAAAGATGCTTTGATGATATGGTGATGGCGCCAAAGAAAAAAAGACATTCTTGTCTTTATTACTGCAATTACCTAATATGCAAAGTGAGGCTGAAAAGACAGGAGGTATGGACAACCAATCCACATAGTTCAATCACAAAATTGTTCTTTGGATCAAGGAGACAATGCAAGTCACAAACAGAAAACGGATATTATGATGACTATCAACCGTGATTCAGACAACACTACCCGATTCAACTGAAACAGCTATACTCAGACATCGACTGAGCAAATCATTTCAATGGCAGTATATAGGTTGCCGATTTTCAGACACTATCTTGGCTTCACCATGAAAACCAAAAGTTGAATGCAACACCATTGAAAGCCCTACCATCTCGATAAGGCCATGGACACAAGAAGACAGTGCAGATAGCTGAATCTTAATGCAGAATGACACACCAGAGGGAGGAAGTTCATATTGAAAAACAAAGTATCAGTGCAGATGTTAATGAGCATAAGAGCACACCACCCAAACATATTGCGACATGCTCACATAACGGATCGGCTCTTGTTTGCTCATACCATCATTTGCAGAACATAAAATCTCAGATACAGAGTCATTAGCTTTACTTCTTCTCGGCATTCTGCTCCAATTCCCTCCGTAGCTGTAGTGAGAAGTCGTCATTGACATCATCATCATCCCAATCATCCTCCCACTGCTGTGTCACCTCTTTCCCTTCATCCTTCTCAATCCACTCTGCAGTTAGAAACAATTATGAGGAGGCATAGCCGAATTTTTTTGAATTGAGGATGCAATTTTTTAGCTTTAATACCATTAGTATATCCTTGGCATGGTACCTTAACAAATCTGAAATCCTAATAGATCCGAGAGAAAATTCTGCTAGTCATTAGTTGCAGAAGGCCATGACCAGAATTATACTTCTACTCTATTCATGTATGAGATAGCAGCACCAGCCAACGAAGAACTTACTCACTTAGTTCTTGCACAGAGTTCATCACATCGTGCAGCAGAATGCAACAAAGGGGATCATCATCAATACAGAAGCTAAGCAGCATTACCAAAAACCCTAAATCCTAGTCTTGAATACCCTTGGCGGTTGGCGCAGTCTCTTAACAAATCTGAAATCCTAATAGATCTCAGAGGCAATTCTACTAGTCATTAGTTGCTGAAGGCCATGAGCCAGAATTCTACTTCTACTCTATAGTCTATTCATGTAAGAGATAGCAGCAACAACCCACGAAGAACTTACTCACTTAGTTCTTGCACTGAGGTCATCACATCGTGCAGCAGGAATGCAACAAAGGGGATCATCATCAATATGGGAACTAACTAGCATTACCAAAACCCCTAAAATCCTAGTCTCGAATAACTTAGGGTTCATTGCAACGATTATGTCAACTCTGGATTACCAAAAGGCAAAAAACCCTAAATCTCTACAGAGCCAAACGAGAACAGGAGTGTTACCTTGATCGATTTCGAACTCCTCAAATTCATCATCGTCCTCGAACAGGTCCATCTTTACGTCCTCGGTAGCTGCCTTCTGCTCGGCCGCCATTCCAAGATTGCGAAAAAGTTCCTGCGAATGCCCGAAATTGAGAAGAATGATTAAATCGAGATCGGAGAACAACTGAAAATACGAACTGCGTTCCTCTGTTTGATGAAATACAATAGAAGCAGAGAAGATCGCTCGAGGAAAGAAGAAGAGAAGAATCTTACCTGAATCGTATAATCGATAAGCAGACTAGCAGAGGAATGGAGAGCGGAACCCTAACTTTGGACACTTTAACTTCGGAGACGGCTACTTCTAGTCTTTCTTTCTACGACCCAAAAGGAAAAATCGGGAGAGAAGAGGAGAGGTTGAATACAATTTAATACCTCAACTAGCACATTATGACATCTTAGTCACTGAACTTCCAAGCTGTGACAACGTTATGCCTAAACTTCAATTAGTTAACAGTTTAGCTCTCTCTTATTCTTTTTTTATGTATTATTTTTATTGATAATGTTTTTTGTGTATTATTTTTAACAAATGAAAGGATATAAATTGTTGAAAAATATAGGAAACATGTGTAAAGTCTGCTTAAATCTGAACACCATAAGCATTCATATTGCTATCGGTTCTTTGTTATTTGATGATAATCCTAAAATTTTAAGAGATTCTTAAATCTTGGTTAAGAAAGATCACTATGTGAACTTTCATAGGGATGAACTTCACATGATAACATATATCTTAAGTCTTGGCATAGCCATGATGAATCTGACCAAAAACGACAATGTTGCTCTAGCATAAGGAGTACCAAAAATGGAAGATCGTTCCTTTACCTATTAGATGGACTTTATACTCGCCACACATTTTATTTATGATTCTAGACTTGAACTTGTCTATATCACTATATAACATATAGCCCAAATCATAATACTTATTTTAACTTTGGTTAGTCACACTAACATTTGATGAAACTAAAATTTCTAAAAAAAAAACTAAAAAATCCAATTCTAAATAACATACAACACACCGTATTCGATTTTTGTATTCACAAATACGACTTCAAAAGTCGCTCCAACCTAAAACAATAAATTTTAGCGTCCGTCACCAAAAACCAAACGGAGCTATAAACTTGACCTCCCTAACAATGGTTATGCTATTTACAAGTACCAGACTCGGTCTACGAATCGAAGGTTGTATCCAAGAAGCTACAAAAATTCAATGTTTAACAAATCCTATTATACCTAGTCGGTCGAACCAAAAATATCGGATACTCGTCCCAAAACAATAGACGGTTTTAACAGTAAACCAGTTACCTATGATGAAACCATAATTTTAATATAATATACTGTACCACTGACTTTTCCGGTACAACCTTTACGGTTTCACATTCCCTGCAAAAATCACAACTCACGAAGTTGAGGCCTTTCGCATGGACCATCCGAATCCAAGAAATCCCCCAAAGCACCCGTCTCGCAGAACCTCTGCAAAACCTTGATCAAATCCCTCGCCTTTCCCCTCCCACTCGCCGAACTCCCTTCCGTCGCCGCCGAATACAGCGAACCCATCACCGATTGCTCCCCCGCCAACGCCTCCACCACTTCCGCTCCGCCATTCTTGCACAGAGACCACAACATCGAGATGCAGTGCTCTTTCCCACCACGCACCGACCGCATCGATTGCAGACCCTTAATCGCCACAGCCAAACCCGAATTCCTCACGAGCTCGATCGTCCCTTCCACCGTCTCCGCCAGGGAAGCCAGCACCGCCAGCGAATCCGCCACGAGCTCCTCCTTGTCGGAACCCAAAACGACGTCGATTAGGACTGGAACGGCGCCGTTCCTCAGCACTCTCTGGCTGTTCCCCTGGTACATTAGAAGCCCAAAGAGCGCCACCACGGCGTTCTTCTTCCCGCAGTGGGTTCCGCTTCTGATAAGCTCAATCAGCCCTGGGATTGCTTCCGGAGTTTCCCCGATCAGCTTTCTGTACCCTTTCACCGACGACAGGTAGAAAATCGTCGCCGCCGCGATTTGCTTCGACTCCGAGCTCGACCCGTTTTTCAGAACGGCTAGAATCGATCGAATTCCATCGTTCTCGACGATTGCCCTCTTCCCGCCGGCGTGCTTCGAGAGCTTCAACAGGGCTGCAATGGCGTTCTCTTGAGATGCAGAGGAATTCAGGAGGTTCAGCAGGGGGAGAATTACCCCTGCTTGAATCAAACACCCCCTGTTGAAGATGTTGGATTTGGAAAGCAATCGGACCTCGTACGCCGCCTTGTTCTTCTCCTCCTCCGTTCCGAAAACCAGCCTCCTTGCCAGAAACCTGGACAGGAATCTCATCGCCGCGGCGGCGGAATTGCTTCCTGGGTTTATGGTTCCGGCGATGTTCGAGCCGCCTTGGGTTGCGGCTGTCGGGAGGGAGATGCCGCGATCGATGCAGAATTGGTGGATTACGTTGCGGAGACTTGTATTCGGGACAAGCTCTTTGCTCTGCAGGCGCTCCCCTGTTTTGGGGCACGTCGTGTTCCCCGATTTCAGCCACTTCTGTATCGACGATCGGTCGTATGTCTGGCCGGTGGATACTGTTACGGGATCGGTCATTAGTTCGAGCGAAATTGGGCAGCGGAAATCTTCTGGGTTTAAGCAGCCGAGCTTCTCCGAAATGATTCCGGTCTCACTCTGTTCTTCTTCCCCTGCATTAGAATCCAGAGTTTGGAAGAAAATTACTCCCCTGCAGTAGCTCAAAACTCCCAACCAACTACTCAGGAACGACACCTCTCGTTGTTCCCCCTCGCCACCGGAGCTCCGAAGCTCGATTTGCTCCTCCAGAAATTCAATTTGACCGTTGCAGTGACTCCACGTCCTGATCCCGACGAAATCGAGAATGCGCTTCACGAAATCGAAATCGGGCTCGATTCCTCTATCAAAACAATTCAACACCGATTCAACCTGCTTCCCCACCAATTCCTCATCTGGGTCCACCTCCATTTCCCCATTCCGCCCATGCTTCACCACCAGCTCAACATACTCCTTCACCTCGCCGCAAATGTTCATCGAATCGAGCGGTAAGATCTCGATCGCCGTGGCGATCGACCCGATCAGCATCCTGAACTGTCCCGCCACGAATTCCGACTTCATCAGAACCCACAGCGTGGCGTCTTCCCGCCCCAAATCTTCCAACAGGAAGAGAATTTTCTGGAAGGCGAGGTGGAGCTCGGAGAAGCAGAGGAAAACAGAGTCCGAGAAAACCAGCTCGCAGTCTCTGATCTCCTCCAAGAACATGAGGAGAATCCCGACTTTCCGAATTGCTCTGCGAGCATTCTTCCTCTGTGTCACGAATTGTTTCCCGCGCTGGCAAATCGTCGCCGCGAGGTGGATCAGCGAGGCCAGCAGAGTCGCCTGAGAGATGTTCTCGCAGGGATGGACCGCCGGAGAGGTGAGAATTCGGCGGCGGTCAGTCGGCCGGTTTTGTCTCTGAATCATATCTGCTTTGTTAGTAAGTGTAGCAAAATAAACTCCCAACTTCCACCCTCAGATATTTAAAGGGAAACTGGGAGGGACACGTGGCGAGAGATAAGGGACTGGGAATGTTGGCGGGTTGACGGCGACACTTGGCGGCACATCGGGCAACACGTTAACGGGACACGTGGGTGGATGGGATTGGGAGGAGGCAGCTTCTTGGATCTCGGGTTGAAATAGTGTTTATGGGCTTCACTGGTGGATGGAGTGACAGGTTTTTACGCGATATTTCGCGGCCCATGGAAAGGCAACGGTGGGCCCATTACAAACCGACCCAAGGGGGTGCGTGGACCAATCAGGGGCTGACTTGTTGCTTCGGGAGGAGGGGGACGTCCACGGTTGAAAGCTTGATGTTGAAGTCAAAGGTTATAATAGTCAGGTCCAGGTGAGAAAAATAAATTTTGAATTCTTGTGGTTTATTAATTAAAAGAGAATATGCTGCGGAAAAAAAAAAAAAATCATAAGTGGGCTTTCCTTCATGTGGACAAGAATTACGCGCAAGTAAATGCTAGTATATTAGATTCCTTATATCAAAAGCGTGTAAGTATTAACGTGTGACCTTAGATGCAAACAAAATATTACTATCCAAATACTTTTGGGATTTGATTATGTGTGCCTTGTCATTCTGGCATAGTCCTTACGTGACAAAGAGAAAGCTATATATTTGCTTATCCAAAAACAAAATCTAGGATGACATGGAACAACCGGAATTTATGCAACTTGTAATTTGGGAGAGTGTTAGGAGTATGAATCGAAATGGGTTGAGCTTTGAACAATATTATCGAATTAATGTTCTACACTCATTTTCTATCGTGTGAATCGTTTTATTTTGTTTTAGTTGATGTACTGATATTTTCTTACCCAATATGGAAGGATTATAATACGGAAGAAAAACAATACACGATTTATGGGGTCTCATATCCATGTATTTGGTATGTATCTCAAAGTAACCAATGGTATACTAGATATGTATTTTGAAATTCATCCATATATTGGAAAATTCAAATACCAGTTAGTATCCAAACAATAGATATAATATTTAAAATTAAAAATTAAAAATTAAAAATCACAAATACTAAATCCAAATCTTCATATCCAAACACACTCCTAACGTTATTGCACAAGCTTCCTGTTAATGAAAAAGGTTAATACCTTATTTTGGCCCGAACTATGACCATATAATCAACTTTTGCACGTGGTTTCAGAAATTAACATCATGGCCTTAACTATGTAGCACATAGACTAAATTGGCCCGACACATGCTTTGACCGTCAATTTGGACGGTCAACATCATTGACCGTTAGTCAACACGCCATATCATTGCCTAGCCAGCCTAAAAATCATTAAAAATTTAAAATTCAAATTATTTTTCTAATTATTATTATTTATCCTTTTAAATTATTATTATGTCATCCTGAAATTCAAATTAGTTTTGAACGATATTATTGAATTAATGTTCTGCACTCATTTTCTATCGTGTGAATCGTTTTATTTTGTTTTAGTTGATGTACTGATAATTTCTTACCCGATCTGGAAGGATTATAAAACGGAAGAAAAACAATATACGATTTATGTTGTATCCTATCCTTGTATTTGGTATGTATCTCATAGTAACCAATGGTATACTAGATAGGTATTTGAAATTCATCCATATATTGGCAAATTCAAATACCATATCAAGTTAGTATCCAAACAATAGATATAATATTAAAAATTAAAAATCACAAATACTAAATCCAAATCGTCATATCCAAACACACTCGTAACGTTATTGCACAAGCTTCCTGTTAATGAAAAACACTTCACTTACTACATAATTTTCATAATTCCCTAGCATTCATACTTTTTTAAGTTCTGAGGGCCAGAGCTCCCTGGACACTATGTAGCTCCGACTCTGCCTTCGATTGCTCGTCTGGCCTTGTGGACTTGTGGTTCACTTCTCATATGGGCAAGTCATTCCGGCATTGGGTCCCACCACAAGGGAATGACGGGTCCCTACCTTGGAGAGTTGCTAGCGGCTAGAAATGTAATTTCCTTTCCGGTCTCTAGATGTTTGCCTACTCTTATAGTGGAAGGTGATTATGAAGTGGTTATTCGTCAGCTTCGCCTCAAAATGGTTAAAGATTCGTTGGGTGCCCCCTGTTTTGAGAGTGTCGTTCGTTAGTAGAATCATGTCTCTTTTCGTATATTGTTTAATCATTTCTCTTTTTGTATATTATTTAGTTCAGTTACGCGGACTGTCAACCGCTGGGTTGCCTATAAAGTGGCACGTAAAACCCTATTACTGTCTCCATTAAAGTTGATTTTCTTTGATTTTGTAGGATAGCTTCACGAAATGGTGTTCTGGGCAGAACTGTTTTATCCATATCATTACCTGGAGAGAAAACAAGCATTAGAAAGATCAACAGGTCAAAATCTGCAGTGGACAATACATAAACTAGGAATCAACACAATCATAAAGTTATTTAATAACCTTACAGAGACTAATCTGTTGCCTTGCCATGTGTTTAAGTGGGTTTGCTGGCCCAGGGACGGAGCTAGCGTGTGTGTAGGGGGGCCATGGCCCCCCCCTAAACTTTTGAAATACCATGAAACGTGAGTAATGAACATGAAAAACAATGGCTAAGGATGTTGTTTATTATTCTCTGCATAGAGGTGCATGGTTCAAATCCCTGCACAGACCATTTTATTCATGTTTTTTCAGGTTTCTATGGGAAGCATAAAAAATGGTGACAAACTTGACTATTTTATCAATGATTCAATGATTCATACAAACATCACTCTTTTATCAATAATTAAATTGGGCATGTTTTTTCATAGGCCATTTTATTCATGTTTTTTCAGGTTTCTATTTATAATTAAATTGGGAAGCATAAAAAATGGTGACAAACTTGACTATTTTATCAATGATTCAATGATTCATACAAACATCACTCTTTTATCAATAATTAAATTGGGAAGCATAGAAGATGGTCACAAACTTGACTCTTTTATCAATGATTCATACATACATCACTCTTTTATCAACGATTCATGTAGATATATAATTTTACAGTTTTGTTGAAATTTTAAGTGGATTTTATATAAAACAACATTTGTGTGATTTAAATGTGATATGTATATGTTTTTACATATATTTTGAAATTTTTTACAGTTTTGATAAAAAATTTAAGGAGGTTTTATATAAAAAAAAATTAGGCGATTTAAATGTGATATGTATATGTTTCTACATGTATATTGAAATTTTTTTCGGCCCCCCTAATCAAGAATCCTGGCTCCGTCCCTGTAATTGCTGGTATGTCTTATTCGATTTGTTAGTTTATATTTAGTGCTTTGCTTTCCATTTTCAAACAATCAGGGTCGAAACCACTTGCCCACTTGGACAAAACCCTCCTGTTTGGTTAGCAACTGTCTCAGGCATTTCACAAAACCACACAACATGATTTACATATTCATCCTGGTTGCAGCAGTAGCACACACTTACTATCTTCATTGGTGGACAGCCGAACATCAATCTTTGATGTTCCCAGTCACCTAGCAACTTGCTTCCAGATATGCTGTGTTCAATTCACTCTTTTTTTTTTTTTTTTTTTTTGCGGGGATCTACAGCCAAGCAGGATTTTTGAGAGGGGTAACGACTGCCTTGACTTGCAAGTAGTTGTGGAGACTGTAGATGCCCTTCTCCCTCCCAATCCCACTCATCTTGTACCCTCCGAAAGGGATAGCAGCGTCGAACACGTCGAAGCAGTTCACCCACACCGTCCCTGCTCTCAGCCCCCTCGACAGGGTGTTCGCTGTGTCGATGTTCTGAGTGAATACTCCTGCAGCCAGCCCGTATCGAGTAGTGTTGGACCTCTGAATCACCTCCTTCAAGTCCCTAGCCCCCAAACAAGACAGTTATATAATTAAGACTCGGTTCTAACCCTTACATGATTGTTTCATCTTAAGGATGGATTGAACAGATTCAACAATACTCACTTGAACTTGAGGATGGATTGAACCGGGCCGAAGATCTCGTCTTGTGCTATCAACATATCATCCTATTATATAAAGTAGCAGGATGTCAGGGTGATTTAAGCATCAGGTAGGAGCTTAAAATGGAGGTGAAGCTGTGTATGCATGAGACCTGAACATTGGAGAAAACAGTGGGTTGGACGAAATAGCCTCTGGAGCCGAATCGATCCCCTCCACATTCCAGTTTAGCGTCGCTCTCAACGCCTGACTTAATGTACCTCAGCACCTTCTTAAATTGCTCTGAATCGATCTAGCGTTCAGAAAAATCGAACGAAGGTTTGAATCATATGTTCATGTGTTCAATATTGGAAGGGAAAAAGTGAGCACACTAGACCAATTATATGTTAAAGGTACCTGAGGGCCTTGTTCAACACCCTTCCTGAATGGATCGCCAACTACACGTCTCAGGGCTCGAGCCTTTGCTTTCTCAACAAACTCGTCGTACACTCGTTCATGGACATAGGTGCGGGACCCAGCACAGCAGCACTGGCCCTGCACAACCAGAATGGAACCATGATTGAGTGGTGAACAATGTGTGGAACTATGGATAATATACAGATTACTCTCTCTAAGTGGCGAAAGGGACAAGAACCTGATTGAAGAACAAGGCAAAATGTGCAAGCTCCACGGCCTTGTCGACATTAGCATCCTCACACACTATGAAGGGTGATTTCCCTCCAAGCTCTAGTGTCACTGGCTTAAGGTTGCTGTTGGCTGCCAATTGGAGCACAACTTTGCCGGTCTCGGTTGATCCTGTGAAAGCAAGCTGCGAAACCCTCCCCGAACAAAATGGACCATCACAAACTAGATACATGACTTGGATTCACTGCACCATTACAAAGCATCACATCAAATTTAATTTACCTTATCAACATCCATGTGGCTAGCAAGGGCAGCACCAGCTGTTGGACCATATCCAGAAACTATGTTTAGCACCCCCGGCGGAAGACCAGCCTGCAAGTTACAGACGATCACTGTAAATCCGTAATGTAATCTCTATCCATTGAAATCAAATACTGAAATCGAAACAGTAAAGTTTTTTTTTTTTTTTTCCCTGAATCTCTTCTCAGTTCTCACCTCCTGGAACAACTTGCCAGCATACAGAGCTGTCAGAGGTGTCTGTTCAGCAGTTTTGAGAACAATAGTGTTGCCACAGGCCAAAGCAGGCCCAACTTTCCAAGCAAACATGATGAGTGGGAAGTTCCATGGAATGATCTGTCCAGCAACACCGATCGGTTCGTGCAATGTCTGAACGTGATGGTGGCCGTCTGCTGGCATTGTCATCCCATGAATCTTGTCTGCCCAACCTGAAAATAGAGTGAATGAGAGGAGCAACAATTAGCTAGACAAACTCAAAACCACCGAGGACAAGAAAATCCACAACACAATGGCAACATAATCAATCACATAGATCCACACCAGCATAGTAACGGAATAGACGAGCAAGCGATGGCAATTCCGCTTTGGCAGCTTGTTCATAAGGCTTCCCATTGTTCCATGTCTCTAGAGCTGCAAGCTCATCTCTATGCTTGTCCACCAAATCAGCAAACCTCAGAAGTATCAACGACCTCTCCTAAAACCACCCAAAAGTAACTTGCATCAATCTCCCAATTACTCCATTGGATGAGTGGTCAGAGAAAAACATAATGAGCTATAGTTGAAATATACATAAGCGGTCATCTTGGGCCATGGCCCTTCATCAAATGCTTTCCTGGCAGCTTTTACAGCCCGATCTACGTCTTCAGCATCAGCTTCAGCAACGTGGGCAATCACTTTCTCGGTACGAGGATCATATGCAGGAAATGTTCTGCCTGCAACATACATGCATACAGATTACAGAGTTATCTTCACCAGAACAGCATCGATCCCCATTTTGGTGACAATACGAATCAAGAATCGATTTTTAATCAAACAATTTAGGGTTCCATCGAGGGAAACAATTACCGGAAGCCGAATCAACGAACTGCCCGTTGATTAGATGCTGGGTGTAGCTGATTTTAACTGGGGGAGTGACCAATTCCTCAACAGCAGCATTCGTGCCGAACCCACGGATGGTTCTTCCCTCTCCCCTGCCATGGATAACTCTTCCTGCCCAGATCATCCCACAAGTTCATCAGTGATTTGGTTAAGTTACATGCAGATAAACAAAATCAAGAAGAACACACAAAGTACAAAAAGAGAATATGGAAAAGCAGTGTTGAAGGGGGAAGTTGTTACCATGGAAGAGAAGCGGGGAAGCAGAGGAGGGTGATGCAGAGTAAGCAGAGAGTGAGCGAGAAAGCAAGGAAGAAATCCTGCGAGCTGCCATTTGCTCCTTGTTGCCCTCTCCCTCCCCAGAAAGTCGAATTCTTTTTACTCTATCTCTTAATGGGTGCTTCTTCTTCCTCTTCCTATCTAAATCTGAGCTGATAAACCAGAGAAAACGACTCTGTTGTTTTCTGGTCACCTAGCTGAATGGTGATTAATAAACTCAGCTTCTCCAGTCTTCCATCCCCTGTCCTTTTCTTCACCATCTACATTTGTCTTCTCCTCCTTTGAGTAGTAGTACCAGTGCCACCTCGCCTTATCCTTTAACATTATGCGATAGAACAGAAAGGGCGCCTTAAACTTATGCCTTTTTTTGTCGTACCTCATGTGCTGGTTTTCTATTTCTCATTTTTTCATGCCTTGTTTTTGTTTTTGCCAGATGAATGTAGGAACGTGCGAACTGCGAAATCATACCGAAGGTTATAGCGAAAAAGCTAGCCGTTAGAATATTTTGTATTAACCACATAATATGCACATAATATACACCACTTTCTACACTAAACACATATCTACTCTCAGCACTATCCCTCCTAACTCTAGCTATGGCGATCATCATCCTATAACCAAAACATGTCTCCACCGATGTTACAAATACCCCTTCTTGTTAAATACAAACCTCACAAGCCTAGATATCTTTATGCATTAAAATCAGGCTCTTGAGGCTTGAACAACTTGGGCATCTTCAAAACGTCATCACCAGGCAACTTAGGATGACTGCTAACTCCCTTTCTCGTGTTCGCTGCAAACTTGGAAGCAAGCAATGTAGCCCCAAGATGCTGAGCCTTCTCCCCTCCGTCGTCCGACGACGACCTTCCACTTCCACTCCCACTCCCGCTCCCTCCTTCGTCGCTGTAGTACCCTTCCCCGTCCGAGTACTGCGAGTAATACAAGCTCTCTTGCTTCGCCAGCTCCATCGCCAGCTTCCTCCTTTTGAACCTCTTCCACGCCGCCTGTATGAAGCAGGCCCCCCAAGTCCGCCATTGATGAGAGTAGTACCGAAACGCGTGCTGCAGCGTCTTGCTGTGCAGTCGTTTGAACTGCTTGGCGACGAATTTGAGGTCGGTGGCTCGGAGTGCAAATGCCTCGACCTCGCTCAAGCATCTCACTGTACGTGTCGACAGGGGCAAGTTCATGCAGGATGATGGGTTTATAGCCCACGTAAGAAGCTCTTCGCCGCAGAAATCACCAGCTCGGAGATTGATGGAGTTGTAGAACCCCGTCCTGCCACCGTTGGTAGTGCTGCTCTCTAACTGTCCCCTGATGATGAAGAGCAGTTCGTTGACAGGGTCACCTTCTCGTACTATGTAGGTGTCCTTGGTGTTTAGGGAGGAAACCAGGCGTTCGCAGATGGCGTCGAGGAGCTGGTCGTCCATTTGTGCGAAGAAAGGGACCTGTCAGAACAAAAGGACAACTCTTTCAACTGTCACGAGTGAATGAATGAACCAACAATCAAGTAGTTGTGCGCACTGGTTCTGGTAAGGTGCGTGGATGATTAAGCATTGGCATAGGACCATATCGAAAACAATGGCAAAATGAGGAAGAGAATCTTACCAAAGGTGCATTTGCACCGATTCATCTGGTTTTATCTAGACTAAATCTGTTATCTCTGGAATCAAAACTGAATTGAATTATGTTTCGATGTCATTTAATTCGATTCAGAAGTTGATTAGTAACTGTATCACACCTAGTCCACTTGCCAACAGCGACCAACATACTCAGAATCCTACCTATTTCAATCTGATTCTAGACTAGACCAGACAATGTCATCCCTACCAAGTACCAACAAGCTTTAGAGCTGTCCCATTGTTGACCAGTTAGGAAACTAGAAATACAAGAATGAACTTACACGTCTAACAAGAGCCAGGCAAAGATGCCGTTGAATCCGACGTCTGATATCTAGTGGGAGGGCTTTCAAGATGGATTCTTCATCCACACCACGCGTTGCTAACCATTTATACTGCACAAATCGACGAATTCTCTCTTGTAGATCTGGAGGTAGCTGGCGATGCCTCATCCATTCCTCTGTATCCCTTCTCCTTATCCTCCATTCCTCCAGCCTCGCCGTTGTGGATTGCATATACGTCTTCCAGACAAAAGAATTTTGCAACAATTTTCCCAAATTAGTAAACCGGCAATGATTCAATCATAAATGGGGAAAATATGCTAGGATACACACCTGCATGTTTCCAATGAGATGCGCAAACAGCACGAGACCCACGATGCATACGCTAATGCTGAACATCGTTTCGCCTTCATAAGTGCTTGTTGCCAAACTTTGTCCATATGAACTGCAAATTAGACATTGAGAATGTGTGACATGGAGAAAGTTGAGGTGAACAATGGCAAGTAAAGAAGAAGTGAAAGGCAACCCCACCTCAAGTTTCTGAGTCCAAACCAAAGGCAGTAGAAGTACTTCTGAACGATATTAGCCTCAGCAACATGATGGGTGAAGGCATCTTTAAACATGCCAAACTGGACATTCTTGTCATCAAAAGCATCACAATTGGCGATGAGATGGGTGATTCTCATCCAAGCCTGCCGTTCACGATCCTGCTGGGTTGCGCAGTCGAGATACTCGAGTTTACAGGAAGGGGAATGTGTTACATTCCTCTCCAGAATACATTGCCTCTCCCAGCAAGTTCGTTGTCGCTGGATTGACGCCAGGTACCATATTGCTCCTAGAACCTGCACTAACCCCAACAATGGCAACCGTCTTAATTAAGAAATCAACAATGCTATCAAACTATGCGTATTCACAAGGGAAGGAGCTTCTGCTGTTTCCCCAAATTTGATTCAAAAGTTGGGTGTTTGCTTACATGACTAGCAAGAACATAGAGGAGCAGATTATAAACAGCCCCTGACCAAGCAGTCTTGGCTACAACTCCAGTGCTCTTCACAATCCTTCTATTCAGAGGAAACATAATGATAATTCGCGGAATGTATTGAATCAGGACGATCAACGAGACTGTGTGGTTAGCATGGCTAGCGGATGTGTTCTTCACCGCTGGAATAATGAACCAAATCACAAGCTGCCCACAAAACCCACCAAAACAATGGGAATCAATTTCACATTGTAATTCCCAAAATCACTAGAACCCTAATTTCCTTTTTTTCTCTTTCAAATTCAGGAGACCTGAGGGAGAGGGAGCGCGGCAGTGACGTCGATGATGAAGGACCAAGACCTCAAGTACCGAATCGCGATTTCTCTGGGATCCATGACGAGCTCTCCCCTGCCGAAAACCCTAGAGCTGGGGGCGACGAAGGCGGTGCGGAACTTCATGAAGACGTGCAGGATGAAGAAGAGGTCGGTGATGGTGCGGGCGAGAGTGACCCAGATGCCGAGAGGGACGTCCATGGTGAAGCAGGCCTGGCCGCCGACCATGGGGAGGTAGAAGTACATTGGGTCGACGAAGAGGGCGATGATGCAGGAGACGAGGAAGATGTGGTTCCATCGGTTGACGAGATCGCTTCCTGGGTCGAGGATGTGATCCCACCATGGCACTTTCCGCCGGAGGTCGAATGTCTTGGATAAGTTGATCGGCTGGAAGGGTGGGAATGGCGGGAACGGCGCAAATGCGCGGCTGTGGAGGCGATCCATTGATTGATTTTAGTTCTATATGATCATCCGTTCACCAAGAAAAAATAATGCACTTTTCTTACTTTTTTTTTTGGAGGGGGAGGGGAATTTGAATATTTTCGTTTCTCCTCTTCTTTTTTCCTTCCTTTCTGGTTGCAGGAGAGGAATGGGGAAGAAAGGAAGGGGGGAGAGGAGGGTGAAGAACAGAGGAGGTTTTCTATGGCGGAGAAAGTTTCGCGGTTGATGCCTTTATATACCTTTCGACAGTTGACGATTATATTCCTTTGATGTTTGTAACGTACAAAAATCAATGGTTGGTATACATGCAATAATGCAATTAAACAATTCTTTTTGGGTAGAAATGCAATTAAAAAAAGTTTGACTTCTATTACAAAAATGTATTGTTTTTCCTTAATTTCACGATCTAGGTATGGAGAACTTGATTATTTATTTATTTAGATCTATATAGGGTGGTTTGAAATGGATCTTCTATTGGGGTGCGTTTGATACAATGATTTGGATTTGGTATTTGTGATTTGGATTTCCAAATACTAAATCATGTGTTTGGATATTAATTACATTTGGTATTTGGATTTGTGTCAAATTCATGGGGTGATTTCCAAATACATATCTAGTGTATTTTTTGTCAACTTCAAATACATTTCAATAACTAGTGATTTGAAATACCTCCTAACAAAAGAATGGACCTATTTGTAAAATATGAAAAGTTTAGGTACTATAGTGTGAGGCAAAACATATAAAGGTACCAAAATGTAATTTTTACCATCAAAATTTCAGGACCTTTTTGTAAAATTTTAAAAGTTTAGGTACTAAATTGTAAGAAAAAATAATTTTGGGTACCAAACTGTAAATTACCAAAATTTGTAGTAAGCGACCAGAAAATTAAAAAATGAAATTGAAAATCATAAAATACAAAATACAAAATACAAACAAATTACAAATGAGTATCCAAACAATGAATTTGAATTACATGTATTTCAAATGCTAATATTTCGAATACATCCATTTCAAATGCTAATATTTCAAATACCTTACATTTAAAATCCCCTTATCCAAACGCACCCTTGGGGTATTTAGCCACATTCCCAATAAAATGTTGGATTTGAGTAGAAATGCTATGTTTGTTGGAAAAAAATAATTTGGGTGTCTTATTTTTCAAATAGTACAAATGTATTATTCTTCAAATAAAAGGTTTTGTGAAAATACCGGTGTATTGCGTTTTTATGCTTATATTGTCCTCCCTATTTTCATATAAACCCAAAATTATCATTGCATTTTTTTTCCTACCTAACTTTGGTAAAGACTTTCTCTAGTTATATCTCGTGGAATCCATCTCCACCTTCTTTCTTCGTGTTCGTCGTCATTGGCTCTTCCATGGCTTCCCATGAGTCTAAGGTGCTTTTCTTTTTATTCATCGTCTACACTGCCGACACGTCAATCCCCAATTTAAGTTTTCACATGGCTAGAAAAGAAGGTTGATTTTATTACTTAAATTAGTGGAAAGTAAATTGGTATTTAAATAATTTAGAGTATAAGTAAGTAAGTCCCGCAATACACAATTTCTAACTCTATCCAAACATCATATTCGATAAAATATCAAATACTAAATACTATGTGGTATAGTGAAACATTGAGCAAAGAATGGACGAAATTTCCATCGAAATGAATTTTGTTGGTTGAAAAAGCATCACAACAAACATATTAAAACACCTAATTAATTTAAAACAAAACAAAACAGAAAATATGATAAGCGGTGACAGACGCACCCGGTGCGAGGTCTGACTGTGTGACCACAGCGCACACTCTTGGGGGCGCGACGCGACTGCCACTGTTTTGGTTTCGTTGCCCCTTTTCTGTTTTAGTGTTTTTGATCCCATACAAATTTAGCCTCCCATTAGCTCCCACTGTTTTTTATCCCATACTTCCATTCCTCTTGAAGTTCTTGAATCTTGATCTTTCCAAGCATAATTATTCGGAGAGAGCTATTGTCTCTAATATACTTGGACGATGTCAATGAGGCTGGCTTGTTTAGTTGTTTTATTTAACGTACCTAAAGATGATACATACAAAGTCGTCATAATAATTGTATAAGCTCTGTGATACATGTGGAAAGTTACCAAAAATGGAGAAAATACTATCTTTCCCCACTATCATAGCCAAGGTACACTACTACATCTTGAACAAGGGTGAATTGTATTACAGTGGAAGTTGCTGAGATTGATGATCTCTTGGGTTCAAGGACAAAGAACAGAAGAAATGAGGGAGAAAGAAATAGACAGCCAGAAAGATAACGACTCCTAGATCAGCCTCTTCACCAATGGCCGGACGGCGAGGTTTCACCCAGTAAATCTGGCTAGCACACCACAGGCAGTAACAGATAGCTATCCCCACAACAAGTTGGTAAGACTGGTACGTCTGGTTTTTAAGGGACTTCATAGGCTTCACCCTGAAAAATGCAGAAGGCCATAGAACCCAAGCATTTGCACATGACTACCAGATTAGTATAATGGAGTGAAACATGGACAGTATCAGCAGTAGAGAATAGAGCATACCTGTTGACATAAACAAAACCAAGGATTAAGCTAGTGCACAGAAATCCAGTAAAAAGAACAGCATCTGGATTGATTGGTGCCCGATTTTCCCACCAACCAGTGCTTAATATCCAAGTGTACATCGAGGAATGTCCATTTTCCTGCCCATTTTCCAGTACAGCAGCACATAAGGGAACCTAGGGGTTACAGTAAGCATTTCTGTTGCTAGCTAGATAAGGGAAAACATGCAAACTTCGAACCAGCAACAACGGTTAAAGACTGAACTCCAATGTATACGATTTCCATGGATAGAAACAAACAATCAACATATTGCACTTGCCAACCAATTCAATCACAGAAAGGCAATGTGATCATGTCGCAAACAACAAACGGTTTGTAATGACTAAAGTGAGTTGAGCAGAGAAGGAGAGTAATAATCTTCAGACCTCGAATAAGTGGTCTAAGAAAAAGTGCGACAATGATCCAGCAGATATCAAATACAAGCATTGCTTCCTTGACAGAGGAACCTGCAGAGCACACCCAAAACTCCCTCATGAATACCCACATTTAAAATCCCCCAAATTCTCCTACCAACTGACAGAAATTGCGCCTCAAACGAGTAAAGATGATTGCTTTTTGCAGTAAACATGTAAACCCATCCCCCAATTAGGCAAGTAGTTGAATTCAACAGCAGCCAGATCCAGCAAAAAACCCCACCTGTACCCATTACCACAAATAACACCAAAACCCCCAAAATGGTAGAAAGGGTAACATTAAACATAGATCCCCGAATTAATTACAGCGACTGACAACATGGATCGAAGTTTAAAAGCCAAAACTGCTCACCCCAGAAGCGGAATCAAGGAGCTTGCGGCGGAGCAAGATATTGGAGAGCCAGGAGTAGAAAAAGGAGAAGGGAATCCCCAAAATTAGGATGTAATAAAGAGGGTGGTGGATAGAGTCGGCGAGGCGGGAGACAAAGGAGGATGAAGCGAAGAATGAAGAAAGCCAGTCGGAGAAAGAGCCGATGTCCGGACCGAAGAAGGCGTTGATGGTGTAGGTTAAGGTGTGGTGTGGAGTGAACCGGCCGCCGGTGAGGGTTGTTAGTCCCACGCCCGACGCCATGGCGTACATGAGGTGGGCACCGGGTCCTGGCATGATCGGCGGCGTCACCCGGAGTCGGACCCGCCGCTCGATTCAGCTCATCGGCGGTTGCTGAATGAGTAGAACGATTGGCTGCCGCGAGTCAGACTACTGAATTTTTGCTAGTGGGAGAGATCGAGAGAGTCAAAGACGCTTCTTTTAAGAGGGAGGTAAAACAGAATTACCTGATTTTCTTCCTTGGGGTTTAGTTATCCTCTAGGCGCATAGGAATTTTAAATATTAAATATTTATTTGGGACTAGTATATATGATATTTGAAATTGTTCAAATATATTAGGTGAATTTCAAATATATATTTACATACTGTTTGGTACCAAATGAATCAAAAATTCATTTCATTGTGAAATGAATTATCGTATAGAATTCATTGTCAAATGAAATCTTGTGTTTGGTATGTCATATTCAAATCTTTAAAAATATAATGAATTGTCGTGTAGAATTAATTGTCAAATGAATTTCTGTGTTTGGTATGTCATATATAAGAGTAATTTAGTGAATAAAGAGGATAATTATATTATTCCATTATAATTAGTAAATAGTTGTGGAATTCATTTGGAAATTCCATCTCAATTCTCTGGAATTGATATAACTAGTACCAATTCCATAGAATTCAAAATTTAGAATTGAAAATGAATTCTTTTAAATATCAAACACAAAAATGTTTCATTTCAAAATGAATTCCGCAAAACTTAAGGAATTCATTTATACCAAACGGTATGTTAGTGTAAATATTTGCGATTCAAATACTCATCATACTAATTCATGATATAGCATGGACATGATGAAAATTTCACATTCTAATTTTTGGCATAATTTTTCTTTTGTTGACCAATTGAACCTCGAGTCAAAAATATATACTTTGATTTTATTTTATCTCTTTCATAAATTTAATAATGAGTACAACGATCATATTCTTCTTATGGAGTGAAGAATCTATGATTGGTTTTCAGGAAATTTCCAAACCAACCGTTTTAATGTAGTCTTTCAAATTCTTATTTTAGCGAGGTAGTGATTTTGGAATTCCTCGTAGCATCATGTAGAACCATTATGTAAACCTTTAAAAGTTGAGGTATTACAACTCAAGGAAAAAGTAAATAGGTATTGAAACATAAATCTTACCACTAACATTTTTGGAGCAACATGTAAAATATTAAAGCCTAGATTCTAAATTTTAAGAAAAGAATACATTTAGGTCTAAAAAGATAATTTTCCAACAATCTTAATGTGCGGCCTCAAAACACCAAATTAAAAAAAAGAAAAATATTCAAGAGTTTTAATTGAATATCCAATCAATGTGATTTGAATTACATGTATTTCAAATGCAAATATTTTAAATTAAATTTTTGTAAATACATGCATTTTGTTATCGAATATTTGGAATGTTATTTAGGATTCGAAATTTGATATGTCAAAATTATTTGTTCAGATGCGGCTAAATTACACGTTTGGTCACTCAAAATATACAAATATTTCATGTTTGCCAC